ACTTATACCAGAACATCAAAACATACACATTTTCATGAACGTGTGTTAACCACAGACCTATTTCAGACAGTTAACCCAAAAAAAGAAAAAAGACTTCTGGACTATGGAACCATGCTAAAATATGAACTCGTTTCCATGTTTTGGCCCACAAAAATATGTCATCCATTGAGCACTCTATTACTCCAGTCTTCAATGTCACATGATTCTTCAGAAATCGTTCTAAAATGCTGACTTGCCGCTCAAGAAACAAATCAAGAACACTTTTTATTGTTATCAAATAATTTCAGATAATAATTGTAGGATACTTTAAAGAATAGAAAGCTCAGAAGATTCAAAAGCATTTATTTGAAACAGAAATCTTTAGTAACATTATAAATATGTTACTGTTACTTTTGATCAATTGAACACATACAGTACTTTCTAAATAAAAGTATTAATTTCTTACAACAAAATATATATATATATATCTTACCAACCCCAAACTTTCAAACCGTAGTGTAGATGTAAAGTCACCTTTCTTTCAAAGCTGTTCTCTGAACCCTTCACGTGTGGCCTGCTTCCAACAGTCAATCAAAACACCAGCACTTGCCGAACATCTCCATCCCATTTCTGATCTAAAAAATAGAGTGAAGTCAATGACTGAGGTGTCATATATATCGGAACATCCTACTTCACACATCTGACCTGGTTTAAAACACACAAATTCCTCTTTCTTAAAACAAGTGGCATAAATAAAAGTCTGTGGAAGTGACTAAACTATACATGAATCAGACATAGCGTCAAAACCATGTGACAGATATTTTATTAAAAAAAGTAAAAATAATACAAATCTTTATTATTAGTGTTACATCTTATTTAATTATATGCATATCTGTACTTTTTCTTTGCACTGGAAGCTCCTGTCACCAAGACATTGTCTTTGTGTGTGTAAACACAATTGGCAGGAAAGCCCTTTTCTGATTCTGATAAAACATAATATTCATATAAAATATATATTAGTGACTTTTCCAAGCCTCTTATTTTAAAGTTCCTTGATATTCCCATGCTTTCCGTGGCTGTGAGAAGCATGAAAATATACTATGGTATTGCCATCTAATACTATCACTTTACCATGGTATTTTCTGGTAGTACCACATAATCTTGCATCTAAATGTCATGATACAGTAGCATATCAAAGAACCACAGTATTAGCCTTTGATATCTGATCACTGCTTTTTTTAAATCTTTAATTTGCATGTGCAAAAAAGGAACCAGTAAGCACCATGGTAGTATCAACGTTTTAAACATGTTTTGTGGTATTAAAAATGGTGTTCTTGTTTTTTTGTAAACACCATGATACATGAACTTCAATATATCTGTACACGTCAAAATACCATGGTATTACCATCTGATATTGTTCCATGGTACTGTAACAGTAAAAACACAGTGTTAGTGACCCAACCAGCCAATAGAGTCTACTGCAAAAAGTTTTAGTGATCCAGACAGCAGTTTTATACCAACGTGCGTTCAAAAAGAAACATTTAAAAACACATTTACACTAACGTTACATTTCAAGTGAGCATCAGAATGCTGCAGATACATGCAGTCAGATAGATATGTAGCACATAAATATGGTTTAACAACGTACAAGAAGGTGTTAAAAGCTAATTAAACATTATCAATCTCATTTATACCCGTAAAGTACGAAAATCATACATAATAAGCACCACTTGCAGAGAAAAGTCAACGTGTCTTAATAATACAGTCCTTCTCGACTCACAGCTCGAGCAGTTTGCTTGATATTAAACCATCAAATGCAGCCTTGTTTCTAGCGTATAATAACGGCTAAAGCCGTGTTACAAAGATAGAGAAACTCATAAAGAGAAAGGTTTAAGAGATCTAGTACGTCGTTTTGAGATTATATCGATGTTTAACCTGCCTTTTGAGCGTGTTATTGGACAGTTTTCCTCCCTTCTTTCTTCCTTTCCTGACTGACGATCACGTGACGCTGCAGGACTCTCTCTAGTAACAGCAGAGCTGCTCGCGCTCGTGCGTGATGTGTGCATATACTCACACAATGGGTTATTTTAAAGATCACAATGTGAGTCTCACGCTCTTCTCACATATTGAGTTTAAGAGTGGTTACGTGATTATATATGGGCATTTAGATTATATGAATTACGTTTGGCCATGACTGACAAAAATACTGCAGTAGGTACAGTGATGGTATCACATGGTAATACTATGCACGTAAATACATTTTATGGTACTCCAAGGATACCATGGTGCATATGTATAACCATGATATGACAAGTTTTTATCAGTAGTTTTATAACAGGCTCCTGTGCTTTGAAATACAGCCTGCCATTTACAACAATACCGTATTTCACAATATCATGACTGTACCATTGTACATGTTTAAAGAACCATGACCGTGGTTTTAAGACCATGAGAGAACTTTTTCAATACTTTTAGAGCCCAACACACACAATATATACACTACTCATATGTAGAAAAAATAAAATAATATTCAGTATAAGTACAACACATTAACACCGGAGATACAGCAAAATTTGTATTTATTATGGAAAATAAGAAAGAAGATGAAAGAAAACAAGTCTTCCTTAGTCCCCAATATATTACTATACATACAGTATCTACTCTGCTTATGTAATGTACATAAAGGACACATACAGAGAGTAAAAAGGTTTGCATGAAAGACAGTTATTGAATACTACATGATAAAAGAAGGTACATTTAATTTCACTTGAAACAAAACCACACTCGCAGTATCACGCATTCACACGGACATGCACCCTTGGTCTCTAAATATGTAGTGAAAAGCAAACTCTGATCAGTAATAACAGAAATTGCCTCAGGCTCACTTCAGCAAGGCTTCTGGGAGATTGAGTTTTAGTGGTTGCCCTTCTCCTAAGCTTTCCTACCACCAACATTCAATCGAAATCCCAGTGCTATTGGAGGACGCTTCAAAACGTCCTGCATAGCCAAACCTTTCAGCAGCCAAACAATAAAACTTCTCCTGTACGTTTGAAGACAATTTCTGAAATACAGTAAACACAAACTACAGAAAAGGAATGAAGAAACTAGTACACACTGATGAAAAAAGATGGAAATATCAGATCTTGGTTACATCATAGTACACCAAATGTGTTTTTTTGGCGCAACACTCATTCACAAACATTTGCTAAAAACATTAAATGGCATTAATAAAACATTAAAGTGGATTAAAAGAAAGAAAGAAAAATGTGCTTTGAAAAATTTTAAACTTACATACATATTCCCCCATAATCATGTGCCTTCTACAGAGATAAAATAGAGATATAATTGGTCCTGTATGTCTTCAGCCAGACTTAATTCATTTAGATAAAACAACAATGCAATTGTAGAACTGTATGCCAATAACTAGGAAATATAGTGTTTTCCTTTGCAACTGAGTTGAAATTCACTTTGTTTGTCTGTGGTGGTGAAATATTGCTGGTTTTTGCTGGATTTTAAAGGAACAGTTCACCCAAAAATGAAAATTTGCTGAAAATGTACTCTCTCTCAGACCCATCCAAGATGTAGATGAGTTTGTTTCTTCATAAAAACAGATTTAGGTAAATTTAGCATTCACTTGCTCACCAACGGATCCTCTGCAGTGAATGGGTGCCGTCAGAATGAGAGTCCAAACAGCTGATTAAAAACATCACAATAATCCACAAGTAATCCACAACACTCCAGTCCATCAATTAACATGCTGTGAAGCAAAAAGCTGTGTTTTTGTAAAAAAACAACAACAACTAATCCATCATTAAAGTGTTTTTAACTTAAATTGATGCTTCAGGCTAAAATATGAGTCCTCTATCCATAATATTGCTTTTTTTCTGTGGATTATTGTGATGTTTTTAATCGGATGTTTGGACTCTCATTCTGACGGCACCCATTCACTGCAGAGGATCCAGCAAGTGATGTCATGCTAAATTTCCCCAAATCTGTTCCCATGAAGAAACAAACGCACCTACATTTTGGATTGTCAGAGGGTGAGTAAATGTTCATCAAATTTTCATTTTTGGATGAACTATTCCTTTAAAGCCAACATGAAATGGCATTAACAACCCATTTTACTTCTTTAATTGGACATCTGCATTTGGAGGCTGAAGGTCAAATTCACCCCAAGAACATCTTGACGCATCCCAATGGAAATGCTTCTTGTTTTTTTTAACATTAACCAAGAACCAAGCTATTACATTTTGATGAAACACTACAATAACGAACATTGTCTTCTTTGGAAACATGCACGGATGAATCATGGTCCATTGGTCTGTTCTGATTGCTGACTTTAAAGTGGCCTGTTAGAAGTTGGGGGAAGAAACAGTGCATTCAATTGCACGTCAGTCCATTGTTGGCTCTATAACCCTCTCCCTTCTCCTCCGAAAGGGTTTTTAATCTAACTATAACAGTAGTTCTGCTAGATCCAGGCAGAGCAAGTCTCTGACCCGGCTATATCCAAAGAACCTGTAAAAACATTCATATTTAGAGAGCAAAACAACACTTACTATCATAAGACACAGTAACTCCAGTGTGGGGGTAAATAAGGATCAAAAATAGACAAAAACTAAATAAAAACCAAAGACAGCAGTGCTTAACGATACGCAACCACAGTTTTGACAAACACAACATTCGTCCAGTTGGTTCTTTCTGCCTAGAATATACAGTAGGCTCAAGAGTCACTGTTGGAAAATGAAAAAAAACAAAACAGAAATAACATATATGATAAAGAAAAAAGGGAAAGAACAACGAAGTCTAAAAAAAAAAATCTCAAGTGTCTATGGATTGGAAAAAAAGTCCCAAAGGAGATGAATATGTGAGTGGATAAATGAATGAATGCCTTTTGTGAAATCTCATCATCTCTAGATCTCTCCTCCATTGGATTTCTACCGCTCTAATGGCGCTACATTGTGGCTATAATGTTCCTGCTCTACATCAGCGACTGGCGAGCAGTCAGAAGACTTGTATATCAGTTTTCCTCCAGGTTAATTCAGTAGAGCAGGTGTCGGTCATGAGTGGGGCGCAAAAGTTCGCAGGGCCTGATACAATCTGTGAAAAGTGGGCCGGTCTGCGATGTCACGACTCCAGCAACGCATCATCAGCTCGAACAGAGAGGATGGACAGAGTGGTGGGGCGGAGAGAAAGATCTAGGGAGAAAGAGAGGGCAAAATATGTAGAAGTCTTTTACATAAAACATCCATGTAAATGATGTTACAGTTCATGTAAAGGTTTGCGTCCTGTGACTGTGAATTCAACCAGTCTCATTAGAGTTTACCTGAAAAAAATTAACCACTTTACTTTGGACCTCACTTCAGTTCAATTCACATTAATTTAGACTAATTCACTTAATTTCACTTCTCCTTTTTAAGACCAAATTAAATTAATACCATATGTCCATATAGAACAAATCCATTTAATTCCAAAATAAATAATTTATCGCAAACTCTTTTACTTAATAATAATAACAATTAAGCGGCCCAGAGAGAAGCTTCAAGAGTATACAATGAATTACATGCAGATATAGTTTATTCTGTATTATGGAAAATAAACTCCGAATTTGCTGCTTATTAATAGTTAGTAAAGTAGTTAAGTTTAGGTATTGGGAGGAAGTAGAGATGTAGAATATAGGGTTAGAATATGTGACCCTGGACGACAAAACTAGTCTTAAAGGTCCCCTGAAGTGCCTTGAAACACGCAGCATTATTCTATGTGGTGACGTAATTTCAACTGAAACAGGAAGAGAGGGCGGGACATATCGAGCAGCCCCGCCCCCTTTTTAAAATAGCCAATAGCGTTTAGTTTATATCTGCTCGGGCCAGAGCCGTTGAGCTCGGTAAAGCCGTATTTGACAGCCACAGTCTAATAGATTACCCGCTTCTAGAGAGCATTTGATTGGACAGAAAGTTTCATGAGAAGCTGAAGTACGATGTGACGTCAAAAAAATCGTTGAGCCGTTTTGGCGGAAGTGACGAACTGCAAGCTTTGAATGCGTATATCTTATAAATGCGAATTTTGTCACTGTTTTGCAGCACACTGCCTTATAGATAACCTTAAGACTAACATATTGATACTAACACCCAAAAAACTTTAATTTTGATTTCATGGGGACTTTAAGTGTACATTTTTCGAAATTGAGATTTATTGAGCTTTCCATTGATGCATGGTTTATTAGGATCTGACAATATTTGGCCGAGATACAACTATTTGAAAATCTGGAATCTGAGAGTGCAAAAA